TTCAAAATCAAATTCATAACGTGGTTCTTTCATACCTAATACATTATGAAATATATCTTTAACACTTGCATCCCATGTAACTTGAAAGAAAGCTAAACTAATTGGTCGTAATTGTGAACAGAGTTTATTGAAAAAATCAAATGTACGAAAAGTACGTTTTTCAAGACTAACACTAAATAAAAAAAAAGAAAATATTTATAGACATATATATTATTTCTAGTAGCATGATGTACCCATAGTACTCATATTCATTCTACGTATTTTCCGGTTATACTCAAGAAGAGATACTCAATTGAACGGAAATGAAAATAAAGTATTTGAACTAATATTAGTATTAAATATACCTATTGCCGGGAAGAGATCCATATACTTCAGAATAATTAATCGGTCCATTTTCATGTTTGTATAACAGAAATACACATCGATGCCATCCACTACCATTAGGTGGGAATGGTGGTAAATATGAACATAATGTTTCACCTTTATCTATTTGATTTCCAGGAATATTTCCTCTAAAATAAACAATCCAAAAAACAAAAATCTCGAAATTAAAAGATTTTGTCAACATACACAAACCACTGAAGTACTTCAGCATTATCTTCTTTTAAATGTCCATCCAAATTTGTAAATACTAATGTATAAAATTCATTTTCTTTATTGGTACTTTTCCATTCAATTTGTGGTTTTTCACTTGCCTAAAAATATTTCCAAAGAGATCAAAAACTTTTTTCCTCTAATCTATTTACATCTTTTGCATAGAGTCGATTTCCACTATAAACAGGTGTAACTTGATCATTATTATATGGATAATTTACATGTAATGGTATACGAGGAATAAAATGACCGTGTTGAAATAGATCATCAAAAATACCATAATGATTAGCAATCATATGAAGATTATCAGAAAATTCTTGACTAGATAACCAATCATCATGAACTTCATCAAGTGGAATTCGAACTTAAAATAAAAATCAATAGATAATAAATTCGTTTTCTATAATACATACGTGCTCCATCATAATGTAATTTTTTTAAATCAGCTCGATTACGTTGTATAGAATAATGTTTAAAACGTCTACGAACTTCCGCTTTCGAAACATTATTTATTGGTGATAATATACCAATATTTACTTTATCAACACGTATTGGTTCAGGATCAAATTCTTTCAATAGGAAAAAAAACAAAATTAATTAATAGAATATTAGTAATTGATATTTACCTTGACGTCGTTCTTCTAAAGTTTTATATTGCATATCTTTTGTATAAACTTCATCATGTGTTACTTCAAATTGTGTTTTATTTCTATATGGAAATCT